TCATTATATGTCATCAAATTGGATCCAACTAGCACAGGAGGAGATTGCCCCTCTTTCTCCAGCAGAGAATCTGGTGGATTCAAACCATATGCCTTCGGGACTGTAGCACAGCTTCTTGCCACTAGGTCACCAGAGCTCCCTTCCAATCAGTTTTAAAATTCTTTGTTTCAACCGTATGCAGACAAACAAAGATAATCTTATGTGCAACGAAAGCATCTAGTATGGAAAGTAGAGGTCAAATAAATGGAGATAAGGGACCCAAAAAACCCCTGCCATTACAATCCTTACTTTAAGAGAGAGGGGGAGAATACTGTATTCATAGAAGAAGAGCAGGATACCATCTATAAAGAGATAATCAAAAGCATCTCGTGGAAATTCAAGCAGGATAGCAAAAATGAAGGAAAAAAACCCTCAATGGAAGGGATTAAAGTTAAAATATAGACCATCAACCAGAAAAGGAAGCAAAAGAATAGAGAATAGAGAAATATAAGGAAATTAATCAGTCAAGAAAGTCTGATGTCCAAGTCCCTAAAGAATTGTGATACAGTGGAGAGGAAGAAATCATCAATAAACTAATTGCGAAAATTTCTAGAACATTTTAAAGACATAGTGCTTTGTTGTTGTTATGTGCCACAGAGTCAACCACATTTCATAGCAGCCTGTGCAGAAGAGCTCTGAATCCTGATCTATCTTGAGCCCACATCTCTGTCTCTGACACATCTTTCCTCATTACCCTAGTTACAGGGTCAATCCATCTCATCCAGGGTCTTCCTCTCTTGCACTGTCCCTCCACCCTTCCAAGCATGATGTCCTTCTCCAAGGACTGATCGACATGCCCAAAGTGTGTGAGATGGAGCCTCAAAATCCTAGCCTCCAAGAAGCAGCTTAGTTTCACCCTCTCCAGGACAGACCTATTTGTTCTCTTGGCAGTACATGGTATGTCCAATACTCTTTTCCAATGCCACCAGTCAAAGGCAGGGTCTGGATGCTCTGAAGAGGTTTAAAAAAGGTAATGCCAATCTCTGAAGCCTGGAATAGACCACGCATCAATAAGCATTTGGATCAGTGAGAGGGGGATAAAATGAAATAAACACAGAACTTCCAAAGTTGTCCACATTTCATTTTACTTAATTCCTTAACCAGTGTCCGTGGTAGTAGTATTCCAGAAGTCAGGTGCACTGTATTGCACAACTCTGCTGAAGAAGACCTCTTTTTAAAGAGCATATAAAGCGTATTAAAAAGCAAATATATCACATTGAGGACTAAGGTGGACCAGACTCAAGCTTGGGACAATTTTCAGTTATCTCAAAGGCATGTGAAAATTGGATAAATAATAAGAAACTCAAATAAGAATCAATGTTTGTGGTGTTGGTGGAACATACTGACTATTCCATGGACCTCCACAAGAACAAACAAATCTATGATGGAAGCTGTGTAGCCGAACTACTCCTTGGAAGTAAGGATGGAAAGACTTAGGTTCACAGCTTTGGACATGGAGAAGGACATCATGTTCAGAAAAGTAGAAAGGCAGGAAGAAAGAGAGATACCTCTACTGAGGTGGGTTAATACAGAGCCTACAACAACGGGTTCAAACACAGAAAGAATTAGGAGGATGACACAAACCAGGGGCTATTTCATTCTGTTATGCGTCAAAACCAATTCTACAGCACCAAACAGCATTCTGATGGACTTAATCGGTAAAAGGTACTCTGAGCACAAAACAGCTCCAAGACAGACCTTTGGTCTTAAAACTTTCTTGTCTTCAAAGTGTGTTATTTACAGTAGGCACCCATAGATTAGTCATGAATGAATGAACGAACAAACGAACACTTAATGAGAAATGAGTTGTGGCACTAGGTCCAACATCCATAACCCATTAACTCTTGGGCGCTTACCCAGATCACTTCTCTGGGTCTGTTTCCTGCTCTATAAAGTGGGATGTTAATTCCTGCCCCATTTGTATCACAGGAGACCTGAGGATGTGCATGGACAAATAAAACAAAACAAAACAAATAAAATAAAACAAAAAGTTTATAAGCACCCAACACAAACCACAACGAAAAGTTTCAAAAAGGTATCCAACAGACCCCTTTCTGTCTTTGTGGTCTCTATGGCATGAATGGATATTCAGGGGCTATGGGGGGGGGGGTCATCCTAGTTTTTGGAAGCAGGAGTGGCATCCACTTCCTAAACAACATGCCTCCAGAAGCTCTATGAACTTTGATAAATGCCGAGAGTTGTAGAGGGACTTCAGGCCTTTTGTTCATAGTGTCGCTATGAGTCGTGCTCGACTTGAAGGCATTCAACAACAACAACAATCCTAGTTTGGGTTATATCCCAGAATTGTATTCTGTTCTAATGCAATTTAGATGAGAAATCTAGGTGGACATATAAACCATACATTGTATTCATAATGTGTCATATTAACTATTCAATGTAGACTCAACATAACAAAGTGTTATAATCTGCTGAGTGGTTCATTTAAAACAGTAATAAAAGTGTACAGGTACAGAATGTCATCTCTAATAGGAATAATAACCACAAATCTTATTGAGGGAGCTCTGGGGGCCTAGTCTGTAAGAAGTTGCACTGTATCCCCAAGGGTGGTGGTCTCTACAAGCTGCTGGGAGGGAGAAACACGGGCAATTTACAGCCTTGACAACCCACTGGAAGATCAGCTATGAGTTGGTTCTGACAGGACGGGAAGGAATTACTTAATAAATACCTGTTCTAGCCTCGAACCAGGGAGCACAATGGCCAAGTGTTCAGGTATGAACTGAAAGGTTGGCAGTAGCCACCCAGCAGGTCTGCTCTTATAAAGATCACAGCCAGGAAAACCCATAGGGTCGTTCTCTCCCATCACATGGGATCCCAATGAGTTGAACTAGTTCAATGGCCTACAATAACTCCATGTCCTCTCAATCCTCTGTCAATTTGTTGGGCAGTGGTGACTTATCCGTTCCTGTGATGCTGGAAGCTTTGCTAGATTTCAAATACTAACTAGGTTTCCCACATTGAACAGATTTCATGAACGTTTCCAGGCTGAAAGACTAGAAAGGTCTGGGAATCTGCTTCTAAGAATCAGCCAATGACAGCGTCCTGGATCACGACAGAACATGCCTAACTGACTTGCTTACACTGGACTCACCACCAAGAGGGATCAATTGGTGGATAAAACAAGAGGTTAGGTGAGGTAGATGAGGGCCAACCAGGGGCTGGGGGACTCACAGAAAGATGGGCTGGCCCAAGAGCTACAACTGCAGACTTGAATATGCCAGTGAGTATGAGGCAGGGCCAGGCAACACTCTGTCCCATTGTACATGCCGTCAGCATGAATCAACTTGATGGCAGCTAACATCAACCCATCACTACACAACTGATTAACTGTGTCTCACCAAGAACCATATAGAAGAGGCTGTTGTTGTTATGAGCCATTGAGTTGCCTGTGAATCATAGCAACTCTATAGACAACACCTCTAAACCCTGCTCTATCCTTTGTCAATCTCATTGTCACACTTACCCCCATTACTCCAGTCACTAAATCAATTCATCTCATTGAGGGCCTTCCTCTCCTGCGCGGTCCCTCCACCCTCCCAAGCATGATGTCCCTCTCCAAAAACTGGTCCCTCCTTGCAACATGTCCAAAGTATGTCAGACAAAGCTTCAGAAACCTTGCTTCCAAGGAGCAGGCTGGTTTAACCCTCTTCAGGACAAACCCATTCATTCTCTTAGCAGTCCATGGTATATTCAGTATTCTTCTCCAACACCACAGCTCAAAGGCATCAATTCTCTTTCTATCCTCCCTAGTCATTGTCAAGCTCTCTGATGCATAGCAAGTGATTGCAAAGACCATGGCCTGTATCAGGTGCACCTTAATCTCCAGAGTGACATTGTTGCTTTTATAAGAGAGGTACTTTATTATTTTAATCAGAGTTTTGCAGATGGACAGGAAACAGGAGAGATTAAGAATGAAGAGGGTAAGCAGAAGCTTCAAGCCACATGGAGTGGGCTAAGCCTGGATCCTTCTAGCTCCTTAAATCCAACACCTGTGCATCTATACATTATGTCTTCTCAACAGAAGAAGTGTAATTGCCCACAAGCAAGAGCAACTTCTACCTGCCCGCCAGTCGTTACAGGGGAAATCGTATGGCCCATGTTACCTGGAAGAGCCAACTTCACAAGATCCTGGTGACTAGTCATCTTTTTCCTGTGAATTCTATGAACCCAGAATCTTACCCGTTGGGCTGACGTGAAGATGGGAAGCCTGATTCCATCACATTCATACTGGCTCATGAAGCCCTGCTCTTGCACGAGATCCAGCACACCTTCCACGTGGCTGTAGAGTCTTCGGACGATTTGGGGACGATGAATTTGCAGCTTGTGGACTGGGCAGGGCGAATGGGGGTCCGAGAGTTCATGCAACATCAGGGGCTGACTGTCAGCCTGGGCTTCGTGAATCGCTGCAATAAGCTTCTCACAGCCCCAAGCCCCCTTACTCCACATTGTGTCCAGGAGGCGCCTGGCCAAGTGGGAGAGTGGCTGGCCCACAATGCTGAGGCTCTCATAGTCCTCCCAGGAGAGGACTTCCCAGGAGAGCAGCCAGTCCAGGACACCTTCAAAGCCCTCCAGGGACCTCGAGACAAGCAGCCCCACCAGCTGGCTCCTCTGTGCCTGGAAACCCTCCTGTGTGCACATTTCACAGCCTGTGGAGGAAAATGAAGTCAGTGCAGGGTTTCTCCAGAGCCTGGAAGCAGGCAAGCCAGCCTTAACCCAACCCAATCACTGTTTCAACCCCAGACATCACCCAGTTGAATCCCTCCCAATGTATGGATGTGCAAACTGAGGGCCGGAGAGGGCAAAAAACTAGCTCAATATGCCACAATAAGTTTGAAGCAGTCAGGAATTAAGATCCATGCTTAAGAAGCTTAAAGAGACATCCGCCCTTGAGATAATGCAGCAATGACTGTCAAGGGATCAGGGAATGAGTCAATGAATTCTCTCCATGAAGGATGAGATCCTTGAGATAGATGACTTGACACAGTGACTGTGAAGAGCTTGAGCAGGGATTGTGAAGACAGGATAGGGTTAAGCATCCAATGTGTTGTCCACAGGGTCACTGTGAGTCATGGTTGAGTCAATGTCACCTAATCACAAAAACAAGATTTACTAAGCGCATGCCGTGTGTCACGCACCTTTCCAATGGTTTCTCTGTGAAAATTCATGTCACGTTACCAACCAGTCTGAGAAGCAGGTGCTTTGAGGAAAAGAACAAAACAAAACAAAAACCCCAAACTCATTACCATAAAGAGGTGATCCCATGCATTATAGAATAAAAATGTGTTGTTCTTCAGAGGCAACGATGGTGAAAATCCATCTCATACACAAGAGGGGCCAGCCCTTAGATCAAGACATCATGCCAGGAGAGGTAGGGGGTCAGAGAAAGAGACGAAGACCCCCAACAAGATGGATTGACACAGTGACTGAAACAACGGACTCGAGCATGTCAGAGCCCAGGAGGATGGCAGGAGAGCCCAGGAGGATGGCAGGAGATGGCCAGGTTGCAATCTGTTGTTCATAGTATTGGTAGACTTGAGATTACCACATAACAACCGCCACCATAAGGTCTTCAATGTCTCTAATCTCTATGCAAACACATCTCCAGGCCTTTCTTATGTGAGACCACTGTGTGGGTTCAAACCACCAACGTTTAGATTAATCAACTCAGCTCCTTGCTGTCAGGGCAAAACTGACGCATATCTGATCGTCCAGCGGGTTTTCAGAGGCTGTCAGTCTAATGAGAGAAGAGAGCCCAACTTTCTTCCACGGAGCAGCTGGTGGGTTCAAACCATGCACCTTCGGGGCTGGCAGTGCAACTCCTTACCCACTAGGCCAAAAGACCTCCCTTAGACTAGTAGACCATTTTCGCAACCTAGCAAACTGTAGGTGCTACTATCAGTCTAATTTTAGAAATGAGGAAACTGGGACACAGAGAGTCTCAGAGACATGTTCAAGGTGGAGCAAGGATTTGAACTCAAGTAGCACCATGTCTGGGTTCTGTTTGGGGTGGGGCACCTAGCCCACAACTGTGCTCTGCAACCCTCAGGAGTAGACTCAGAAGATTGTTAAAAAGATCTCAGCCCAGGTGAAGGGCGGGTAATGTCACATGACAGCACTCCCCTTCCTCCCACTTTGCTGCTTTGCTCTTCAGTCCTCCCTCCCACCTCTCACCTCCCCACAGCACACACTGCCAGTGCCGTCCACCGTCCTGCCGTCCACTGGTGTTGCCGCTCTCAATGCTTGCTCTCTGCTAAGACCTCACATTCTGGATTCTGGAACTTCGATGGGAAGCTAAGTGCGTAGGAGCGTCAAGTCCTGGGAGGGTCCCAGGCAGCAGTGGAAGCTAACTGAGCATGATCCGTTTCATGACTCAGAGAATCAAGAAACAAGGGGCTCTGCCCAGAGAATATGAAAGTGAAAGGGTCTAAGAATAGGAAAAGCAAGTGGAGATCTGGCTCTTTTCTATGAAGTGGAGACATGTGGACACACTCAAGCCTTCTGCACAGGCACAAAGTGGCCTGGGGGTTTTGCCCCTTCCGATTTGTTGTTTCTGTAGCTCCCCTCCAGCTTTGCTGAAGATAGAGCCTGGACTGTACTTATCCTGACATCCCTGAGCCCAGCACTAGGTCGAGTTCTTTCAAGATCCCATGAATCAAAACCCCTCCAGGGGACATTATGCTGAGTGAAATATCTCCGTCACAAAAGGACAAATACTGCATAGTGCCACTGTTGTAAAATGGTACTGACATTGGGGTTGGAGGGAGACTGAGAAATATAGGATAAATAATGTATACTGCATTGAAACAGATGAGGGAGGGAACAGTTTAAAAGGGATATGTGATTAGGGATTATTATCATGACAGGAGTCCAGAACAAAGGCTACATAGTGAAGTGGCCCTGGGGGGGGGAGGGAATGTATAACAATGAAAGAATTTTTCTTTTACTTTTCAAAGAGAAAAGTGAACTGGGAGGGCAGGGGTGGGCAGGGAGAAAAGTGTAGCAGTGAATGAATGGAAATCCAAAGTCTCTGTAAAGTTTCATTTAAAATAATAATAATAATAATAATAACATTTAAAAAGAAAAAACCCTCTTCCAGGAAGGGAAGAAGGGGAGGACTGGAATACCGTGTGTCGTTTCACCACAAGCTGACCAAGATGAGTGAAAGGAAAAGGTACCAACTAAGAGTGCTGCCAACACACAGGTGCCAGGGCTAGAGCTGGAGAGATGGGGAAACTGAGGCAGTGAGGCCACCTGTGGTCCGGCAGCTTGGGAGGAAGGTTTCTCCACTGTGTAGAGTCAACATCTACACCAGTTCTCTCTGTCCTTGGGCCCACAGCCAAGAGGGGAGCTAAGACAGTGGGGTAGAAAGGATAAGAAGGTGTTCCCAGCCAAGAATGCAGCCGAATCCCCATTACCACCTCAGATAAGTGCTGAGACTGAGAGAGAGAGAGAGAGAGAGAGAGAGAGAGAGAGTGAGTGTGTGTGTGTGTAGACATTCATTCTCTTACCCAAAGGACTCACTTCCTTTCCTGGGCACAGGAAGAGCCCAAGTTACACTTTCCCTGATAACACACACTGTTGTTGTCATTGTTGTAATGCACCATCGAGTCACCTGCAACTCATAGCAACCCTACATATAATAGTTTTGAACTCAGCCCTGTCCTGAGCCAGACCACTAACACCAGCACACCGAATCCCATTGCCTCAGTTACTGTATTCATCCACCTCACTGGGGTCTTCCTCTCCTGCGCAGTCCCTCCACCCTTCCAAGCATGATGTCCTTCAACAACGACTACCCACTAACATGAGAAAGCAGCATGGCCAAGGTGCCCACAGGCAGGTTTTGAGCAGGACTGGCAGGCCCATATCTATCCCCAGATCCACCTCAGGGGAAACCCAAAACAATGGGCCGGAAGCCAGGATTGGCCAACCAGGCAGAATTAGGTAATTTTTGGCAGTTCTAGCATAAAGCTTTGTGCATCCACCACAGAGAACTCTGACCGGAATCGCAAACCACACCCACAGGTATGCTTCCAGATGGAAGGCCTCCCCCAAGCACGGCAGTATTGGAGCCGTGCACTGAGGCTCCAGGCACAACACTCTCAGGCTAGTGATAGAAGGGTTCTGTAGTGAGTCATGAGAAGCTAGAAGGAAAAGGCAAGCATGAAGTTTGTCATTCTGTCCTCCCACTAGTCGCTGGAAAGTCCCAGCTCTGTCCCAGCTTTCTAAAAACAAAGAGAATCCTTGAGGACCAATTCAGGTAGTCCCTTACCCCAACCAGGCATCGGGCACTGTTTTGTATCACTGTCAACATTCAGAGAGAAGGAGCTAACAATGTCATGATCCTGACTTAACCAGCTCAGGATCATAACTTAACTTTCTCCTGCTTCCATTAAGAGAGGGAAAACAGATATGTACCACTTATTTCACAAAGGCTGTCCCTAAAATCCTGTCCCATGCCTTTTCCCAGTCTTCCTCTCTTCAGATTACATAAATCAATATCTAACTATACTTCCATTGTTACCACTTCTGAATGGTTCTTCTCCTTGAATAAAGTGACCAGTTTGTATTGAGTTGCTGCCCTGTGTGTGCACAACAGAACCGCATTCCCTGCAATTCTTGAGGCTGTGCGATTTCTCAAGCAAATTGCCAGGCCGTTCTTCAAAGTCACATCTCGGTGGGTCTGAACTGCCAGCTTCTCAGTTAGTGATTGAGCACTTCGCCTTTTGTGGTACCCGGGGGAAAAGGGAGGCCTGTACAAAGAAAGGGTTGAGGTTAAGCAAAAGGATGGGTCCCTGTGGACCTACCTTCAGCCTCATGCCCAGGCCTGACCCTTCCTTCCTTCCTGAGACCTCTTGGTCGGCCTCATTTCCTCCAGGGCCATGAGCCAATTCACTTGTTTATGTGCTGAACTCCTACTTCACTGAAGACAGAAGGGTGAAGGAAGCCCCACTTCAAAGCTCAGCTGGCTCTCGGCTGGAGCTAGGTCTCTCCTGGGGGCACAGGGCCCATTCCCAGATCTGCTCTAGCGACCCTCCTTTATCCATTCTCTCCATCCAGCTTGTGTCTCTAGCACATAATTTCTCAATGATTCCAAAATTTAACTTCTCCCATCAAAGGGTTCCCTCAACCCCTTCCCCTTTCAGTCACAGTCCTCTCTTCCCACCCCCCCCACCCCCGAATGGCAGAACATTATAGCAACTACCTATAAGGCTGTCATCTCCACGTGCTCGCCTCCCTAGCTCTCAGATAAGGCATGTTCCTCACTGAACCCCTGAAACGGCTTTTCTCACGTGATACGCTGCTCATTTCCCAGTCCTCTGCTGACTCACTTTACCTTTGTCCTAATTGTTCTCTCTCAAGTCCTTGATGCACTTTCTTCATTAGCATTCAGGGTGCACACAGGTGGCCTCTGAGTTTCCTTCCCATTTCACCAGCTGCAGTTTCTCAATCTCCCTGGCTGAGCCTACTTATATAATGGGACGGGGTGCAGCAGGGTGTGAATTAGCAATCTCTTCACCGCACCAATCTGTCCCTAAGTCAGTCCACCTTATAAACACTAGCGATATGACTATAAGTTCTGGTGGAGTTAAGTGTTGGATTGCTAATCGAAGCGTGAGTGGTTCTAATCCATGGGAGAAAGACAA